ACTTAAGGCCCCCTCACTTTTTGAAAGCAGATTTATTTTTCTAGAAGAATTTAATCTCTTTGATGCAAATCAAAATGAATCGACCCTAGGCTTCAATATGCGGGGGAGAAAAACCTTGACTGGAACAACCTTGAGGAAATAGGAATGAAGCCTCCACTGTAATGAGTTCGGCACTGCAGAGAAGAGGTGAAAGGGGATTAAAAACAAGACATCTGATAAGCAGCGAAAGCAAGAAGAGAAGGATATGTTATCTGGGATTATTTTTCAAGCTTTCTCAGTTCTGTGGAGTTTCAGGGAATTTTAAAATATTGCATGTGTTTTGGGGTGACTTGGATGCTCCATTTGATGAGGTGAGTGTGTTCAATGTTAAAGCTGCTTTTAACTTCACTTGCTTGTTATCGGCAGCACTCTGCAATTTTTTCTGTAATATTACAGCCACATTGGTCCTAACTGGTTATAAATGAGCAAAGAGTAAGGCCAGTCATTGCTCGAGCTATGACCTTGCTATGCCCTGGAGTTTAGATGAGCCAAGTTTATCTACACAATGTATATTCAACAGGATATTCAAAAAAAGGTCTTGATTCGAAGAAGACTGACTGTGGGGCTTGCTGTTAACACAGTAACCACAAACCCATGAACCAGAGACTATCGGTTTACTTTTGCCTGCGTTTCTGACAACTGTAGGCAATTACCAAAGGCCCTGCCTTGTCTCGGAGAAATATTATTGCACAGCACATTGAGAGCGGGGTTCAAAAGGTGAAAGAGCAGGTGTTTAGGCTGCAGTTTCCAGTTGGCCTGGTTGAATCAGAATGATGCATTTTAGCTAGAATGTCAGTTTAACAGTACCTCCCGAAACAAAGGCTAAAGTCCCACCATCTGGGTCACTCATTTATTACAGTAATGTCAAGTCACATGTGTAATCACATCAGGCCTCAGAAATAGACTGGATTGGGGGAATGAAAGAATGTGAATCACATTTAGTAGCATTTTTGAAAAGGAATCTCAGAATGAAACTCCGAAGATGATCTTGGCTTATTTTGTAAAAGTAAGACCGGGATCTTGAACTGGATCCTCTGAAGGATAGTGGAGTCGGGCGAGAGTGGGGGAGATGGGGTCACGGAGTTTGGTGCGGGAGAGGACACGGGCTGCAGAGTTCTGAACTATCTGCAGCCTGTGGAGGGAGGAGTTGGGAAGGCCGACAAGCAGGGCGTTTGCATAGTCGAGCCTGGAGGTGATGAAGGTTAGCATCAATCATAGGATCAGAAGGGTGAAAATTGCACCACTTGATGTGTCTTCAATGTCAATCTGGCTCAGTTGCTGGGACTCTCGCTTTTGAGTCAGAAAGCTGTGGGTTCAAATACCATGGTGGGACATTGAGCTCAGTCTATCTAGGCAGACCTTTCAGTGCAGTGAGTGTGATGCAATGTCAGAGCTGCCATCCTTCAAATTAAGCATTGAACCAGAATCTTGTCTGCCTCTTCCAGAGGACGTTAAAGATCTCATGGCAGTGCTCACAAAGAGAAGGGTTTCTCCCGGTGTTCTGGTCAATCATACTCCAAATAAAATTGGTCACTCACTCGATGGCTGTTTGTGGTACCTTCCTATATCCAAACTGGCTGCCACATTTAATCCACAAAATACAGTCAATCCACTTTACAGTATACTGTATATCCCATGAAGCACTTTGAGATGTTTCGACGACATCATAAGGCACTATATCAAATGTAAGGATTATTATTATATTTGTAGGTAAACTTTATCATAAAGAGTGTAAGAGGTGAATGTGAGATGTATTCTATTTGAATATTGCAATGAGGAACTTGGGAAGAAGGGTTGGGCTGGATGTTTGACCTGTGAGGCAAGGAGATCTGAGGAAGGCAATAATAATAATATAATCATAATAATCCTCGCGTTTTATATTGCGCTTTTCACGTCTTTGAGACGTCTCAAAGGGCTTCACAGAATATACTGTAAAGTGAATTGACTGTATACTTGTGGGCGAAACTCGGCAGCCATTTGCGCATAGCAGTGTACCACAAACAGTCGTGGATTGAGGGACACTGCTAACAGGGATGGCCAACCTGTGACCTGCAAGTTGAAGCTTGAACCTACAACCTTCTGACTCTGAGGCAAGAAATCTACCAAATAAGTCAGGCTGACACCTTACCAATGCTGCTGCTTGCAAAGTCAGACCTGTTGAGAACAGAGGTATAAGTAAAACAGTTGGAGGACAGAGTGATCTTTATATAATACTGATAGCGCAGCACTTCCTCGACATTGTACTGGAGTGTCAGGCTAGAACAGGGATGGCCAACCTGCAACCCGCAAGTTGAAGCTTGAACCTACAACCTTCCCACTCGGAGTCAAGAAATCTATCAAATGAGCCAGACTGACACATTACCATCTAAGTATTTTTCAGAAATTTCTGCAAATGAGGCTTTTCAGCTCATTATACCTATACTGTGTGAGCTTCCCTTTGGGACTATCAACTCTATTATCACATTTCACTGTTTTATACCAACCTGGTTTATATCTTTAATTCTTGACGTGTTTGCCGAATTCCTTTTCAATGTCATAATTGACATGATTTTAGTAACCACTTGGGGTGACTCATTCTACATCCTAAGAACTTACTGTGTAATGAATATGCAATTATTGCCTGAGCATAAACTCCCATTCAATAGCCGTATCATCCAAAGGAGAATAGTTTGTACGGTGGCCAGTGCTACAGCCTTAGATCAGAGCCTGCTGAATTGGTTAATTAACTGATGTTGGAATCTAGTAATTTACCTTTCCCACTTCAGTTTTAGAATAAATACTAATAATCCTTGCATTTGATGTGGCGCCTTTCACATTGGGAGGACATCTCAATAGGCTTCACATGATTTACTGTAAAGTGTAGAGACTGTAGTTAAGCATGACAGCGGAAATTGGCTGCCTTGTTCACCCAAAAAAGTGCAAAGTTATATATATTTTGTTTCTTCTGTCACCAGATGCACTTTATCCATGCCCCTGTACTCAAGTCAGTGCTTTCCCAAGATTGTGGCGGGGGAGAGGGAAGGAGGTAGAGAGAAAATCCTCAGTAAAACTAAGACAATGGCAAATGGTATCAGCATTTATGCCTTGCAATGGCGTGAGCTGCCATGGCAACCTCGGCAGGCTGTTTAACCGGGGTTCAAAGACAGCGCGCTGCAGCTGAGCAATATGAATTGTTGCACATCGTTAGATTCTACTCAAAGCACCAGCAGCGGAAAGTACCAGCTGACTCCCGCGATTTCGGAGCTCGCACGTGTGGCAGTGGAGCTGTTTAAATAGCCTGAATCTTATTACCTGCAGATGGGTGCTTTTCCACTTACAAGTAGCTGTGCTTATATTGCTGCTCATTTCCTGCCTCATTACTGGAGCTGCAAGGCTTGGTGACATCTGTTTCTGGCATTGTTAGCTGTTACAAAAAGTTTATGAAAACTTTGGCGAAGCTTTGCAAGTGTACCAGAGGAGGCCATTCAGAAATGTTCAGGAAATATGTTTTCTTGAAACAGTAGACAAAGCGCATGCTATTTGTGAAAACGATGAGCGATTTCTGGGAGCAATAAGCAAACTATTTCCCCGTGACGATGAGCAGTGAGTGATGTTCTTTTGTATGCCATCTGCAAGTGGGGATGCACCAATTTACACTGACGGTTGGGGTTGTAATCTAACCAAGGAGGTTAGGTGATATCGTAAACCGCTCGAGTGATTTCTGTAGATGTTAATAGAGTCCAAATTGAAAGACGCTCGCTTTGTTAAAGAGGCTTTGGCAATCTTTTCACTTTGAACATTTGCCAAGCACTTCACTACAATGACACAATTCACCTCAAATCGCTGCTAATAATAATACTTGCGTTTGATATAGTGCCTTATCTCGTCATTGTGACGTTTCAAAGTGCTTCATAAGATCCACTATAAAGTTGTGTGACTGTATTTAATGGGAGTTTAGAGTCTGTTGCAGTCAAATTGCGTAACCACTGAGGACAGAAATGACTTGCGATATAACCTGAGTTCTCTGCAGGGAATTCTCAGTCTTATCACTCTGACTCACAAAACCTTGGAGACCCCTCAATTCCAAGAAAGTGTAGTCGAGGGCATAGGGAAAAAGCAGGGAATTGGGGTTAGGATGGACAGCTTGTTGGAGGAGCAAGTACCAACACAAAAATTGGCTGAACGTCTCCTACTGTGTTGTGCATTTCTAAGGTTCTGTCATCGCAGGAGAGTTGCACTATCATACAATTCCCAGGATTGTATAACCAGGAAATTGTTTGGCAATTTGGCAGCACCTCATATAATAATATATTAATCCGTTTTTTTTCCTTTATAATAGTCCAGAAAACCTTAACGATGACTTTTTTTTTTGGTCATCTGACATACGCGGACATCCTCACCGTGTTCAATGGTATCCAAGCTAGACTGAAAGTTCCACATATGTATGCCATGTATGCATGGAATTTCCCTGTGTTTGGAATGGAATGTGCACCCTGTCCTTGGAGGGATGTATCCTAATTACTTGAATATTAGGTGCAGGTTGGTAAGAGCTGAGGGTTGAGGACCCCAGAGTGTGTCTTGGAGTACGATTGGAGTTTAACTAGCTAAAGCTGCATAGCTTGCCATTGAGAGCATTGTCTGGTAAGATTCCTGCTGCTTGTCTAACAGAGATTATTGTGTCCATTAGGGCAAGGCTTGCAAGGTTAACAGGAACTGAGTGGAAAGAATCCATGTTCCTCCATTTCCCGTGGCTAAGAGGGCTGCTTAGCTCCAAGGAGATCCAACTAACCTCCCCCCGCAAGGAGAATAGTCTTAACAACAATAATGATAACAAATGATAAACTAACAAACGCTGCATTTCTCCCAACAGGAGTTTTGTTTCGTTCTGCAAACTAGATCTAGCTGTAACATATGCCAATAAAAGCATTCTGACTGTGAAGATAAGCTTCTTGTGGGTTTCCTAATTGTTTCTGTCATTACAGATCACCACGTTTAATGGCAGCCCAGGCATTTCAACGCTGATCACTCGCTGACTGACGCATGAAAGCATTAACAGACAGCACAGTTCTACAAGAATACAGGTACCAAGTATTGGAGTCTGCAACACAGCACAACAGCACCAGTGCAAAAAGGTCACAGAGCAATTCGGAACAACTTACAGGTGTACATTTGATCTTAATTTGGAAGCAGGATCCCTTAAGAAATGCAGCATAATAGTTTCCAAATTACGACTGAATTTCACATATGCTATATGCTCCCTCTTGGGAATGTCATCTGCAGACACTGGGTACATTTCCACATGTATGCGGACGACACCCAACTCTATTTTTCCACCTCACTTTGTGATCCCCAGTCCCCTGATGTTCTGTCAGCCTGCCTGTCAGACCTCAGGAGCTGGATGAGCGCAAATTTCCTTCAGCTGAACGTTGACAAGCCGGAAGCCATACTCTTTGGCTCTCGTCAACGTCTAAAATCACATGGTTCTTACCTCCTCCACCTACCCGACCTTCCCCTAAAACTCTCCGACCCGTACGCAACCTAGGCATCAGGTTCGACCCCCAGTTATCCTTCCTTCGCCACATCCGGTCCCTCACCAGCACCGCTTTCTTCCACCTCCGACGCATCACCCATCTCCGCCAATACCTCAATCCAAAAGCCACTGAAACCCTGGTCCATACCGTTATCACCTCTCGGCTGGACTGTTCAAATGCTCTCCTCGCCGGCCTCCCCTCCACTACCATCCACACAATCCAGGTCATACAAACTCTACCACCCGCATTCTTAGCCGCACCAAACTCTGCTCCCCGATTACCCCAGTCCTTGCCAGACTGCACTGGCTACCTGTCCCAGAGAGGATAGACTTCAAGATTCTCACCCTTGTCTTCAATTCCCTCCAATCCTCTGCACCCCCCTACCTCTCTGACCTCTCTCCTCACAACGGTGCCCATTGCCTTCATTCCACCGGGTCTGGCTTCCTCCTTGTCCGCCGAGTCCTCCACTCCACCCTCGGTGGCCTTGCCTTCAGCCACTATGCCCCGAGGCTCTAGAACTTGCTTCCTCACTCCCTTTGCCTCGCCCCCTCTCTTCCTATTTTCAGGTCTCTGCTGGAGCCCTTTCTTTTCGACCGGGCCTTTGGTCACCTTCCTCCCCCTCCCCCTGGCTCGGCCCCGGGATCCGTTACTGTGAAGTGCCCTGAGATGCCGTCCTGCGTGGAGGGCGCTAAAGAAATTCAAGTTGTTGTTGTTCATAATTTTCAGCAGTTCTTAGATTGGAGAAGTGAAAGGTATTGCGGGCTAAAACTGAGTGGAGTTTGGTATAGGATTGGTATCCTGGGAGGATGAGATCAAATAGGTTGAGATGCCTATGTTATCAGAAGCTCCCTCATGGTAATTCTCGGCTGCTGTTCCACAAAGGTTCTGGCTCGCTGAGCAACTGCTGAGCTAATTGGCTGGAATGTTCTGGAGTGAGTTGCTCTGCTGATCTGTGGGGTAAAAAAAGCGCTATTTCAAATGCAAGGATTATTATTATTATGTAAGTGTGATGGTCTGAAGGGTCAGGAGGCAGCTTGTGCTCTGCTCTCTGGAGGTTTATACGCAGTTTGGATTTTGGATGTTCTTTGCTAATCTTGGCATTCAGTACAGTCATAAAGAAAAGAGCTCACCAGGCTGGCATTGTTTCGTTCTTCTTCAGGATATAATAATATACAACAGAACTCTTCATAATTTTACGAGCTTCACATACATGGATAGCATTGTTGTCACGTGGGGTAATTGGGAGGAATCGAATGCGCACAGGCAGCAACGCTCTAATTATGAAGTTCTTTATGCCAGAATGTTGCCCTTTTTTTCCTTATAAAATTGATTTAAAGATGTTTGTGAAAGCTAAGGACAGAAAGTGCAAATAGTTTTGCACAGGAGGTGGTGCTAACATTTCCTTCAGAGGAGCACCAACGGGGCCTGGAAATATTGAAGTGGATTGCAGGCTGACTTGGTTGAAAATGCTGTCCTTTGGATGAGAATTTAAAACTGAGATCCTATCTCGTCTGCCTTTTCGGTGGATGTTAAAGATACAATACAAATTTACATTTATACAACGCCTTTTGTAGAGGGAGGACATCTCAAGACACTTAACGATATTGGCTTGGCAACAGATCTGGGGGAAATGCAAGGGGAAAGATGACTGAAAGTGCGGTCAACGAGGTAGGTCTTGAGACAGACCTTGAATGAAGTGAGGAAGAGGGTGAATCGGAGAGACTCCAGGATGGAGTTCCAGAGAATGGTGGGGGGGGGGGCAGAATGTCTGAAAGCACGCCCGCTGATGGTGATCTGATGACGTGACTCAAAAAAAGAGAGTTTCTCCCAGTGTTCTGGACAACAATCTTCCAGATAAAATTTGGTCGATAACTTCATGTGTTGCTGTGTGCAAATTGGCTTGCTGTGTGCAAATTAGCTGCTGGGTTTGCCTGCAAAGTGCTTTGAGACATGCTCCCAACGTAAAATGTAAGGATTATTATTAATTCCCACAATGGGAACTAATTTGCATGTTCTCTTAACAGGATTCCTTATTCCTGTAAGAATATCCACTGACTCACAGGAACTCTGGCAGAATGGAGTGACTTACTGGAAGGTTACTGGAAGAAGTCCCCATTTGTGAGACTCTCATTATTAAAGAATATTTTACAAATGAGACCCTTGATTCCAAGGTGTTTACATCTTGCCTCTGGGGACACCGATGACAGGATCAGTGAAGTGAACAGTTGTTGACTCATGTATTTTTTTAGTGGTGTTGAGCTGTCAGCCAGTCATGCCAGTGATTCCACTGCTGACCTGCATAGGTCTTCCTCATAAAACAGAGAAACCCTCACGACTTCTATTTGAACTGGCTCTGGAGTTTACCTGCAAGACAAAACAGGGCTCCAGTGACCGCTTCTCACCACACGTTTTACATAGAGCGAGATGAAGGCATTGACCACTTTGTGAACTCTGCACAGAGGACTGTAAACTCTGATAATGAATCAGAAGAATGTGTTCTTTGTTTCTAGCAGGGCTTCTCAGTTGTTGGGGCTTAGAGGGGCTGAAGCACAATTAAATAGAGCTGTGCAGATAGTTTAATTTCTTTGCTGAGTTGACAGGAAGTTCTGTAGTAAAGTGTAAGCTGCAGTTGATTGAGAAGCTGAGCAATTTAACAGGATTATCAAGCCTCTCGGCCCAGCTTCAGGTGAATTGCTGCCTTCAATGGGGTTTACAGTATCTTGTCAGTCTCTTATGATCTACTTTTCATAATCTTCCTGTTCACAGCGACATACAATACAGCATATACGGTCCTGGACATTGTCAATTAGGTGCCAAGGCTTGCCCACAAAATACACTCAATTCCCTTTACAGTAAAGTCTGTGAAGTGCCTTGAGATATCTCAATGACGTGATAAGGCGCTATATCAAATGCAAGGATTCTTATTATTGTCATGTTTTGATTCTTTAATTGTGGTAGCTTGAATATTGATCTTAGGCCAAAGTTTGAAAATTCTTAACTGGAATGTAAAATTGCTGCTTAATCATTTTTGGGAAGTATTTGTTGAGCCTCATTTAAGTTTAAGGGTTCCCATTATCAAAGCGTATGAACAGTCATGAAAAGGGTATAACGATGGTTTACTAGTAATGCTAGGCAGGAACTGTTAGTTCTTTTGAGAGGTTGAAAAGTTGGGACACTTTTACAATAATAATAATAAACAAGTCTTGCATTTGATACAGCACCTTATCACCTTGAGATGACTGAGGGCGCAGTTGAAGTGGGAGGTCTTGAGACAGGCTTTGAAGGAGGTAAGAGAGGAGGTGAGGCAGAGGAGCTCCAGGATGGAGTTCCCAAGAATGGGGACAGGCAGACAGGACTTCTGTTTAACATCCCATTAAAAGGATGGCACCTCCAACAACACACCGCTCACCCAACATTGTACTGAATTGTCTGTGTGAGTTCAAAGTACTATCGTGGGGTTTGAAGCTACAACTCTCTGACTCAGAGGTGAGAGTGCTATCAACTGAGCCAAGCTGACACTGGAATACCAATTTTTCGGTGACTCAGAGGAGATTAAGGGGGAGGAGGGGCAGATCCTAATAGATTTTTTCAGTGTTCTGAATGCTTTTGATGGAGGTAAATAGAGATGGTCTATTTCCACTGATCAGCAATACATGGTACTGAAGATCACTGAACCCCAATACATGGTATTGAAGATTATCACAAGAAGAAAAGACAGATACTTGTTATGGAATATGGAATGGTCCAGTGGGCTTTTGAAACCTAATAGATAACAACAGTTATAAGGGAATCGAGTCACGACTAGAGGAAAATCGTATTTAAAAAGACGGGGAAAGAGCAGGCAAATGGGATTAAAGTAAATAGTTCCAGTCAGGGAGCTGGCACCAACACGGACACAATGAATGGGCCAAATAGCCCCTTGTACTGTAAACATTCTTTGAGACGATAAATTTAAGGCAGCCCAAAGCCATCAAGCTTAAGTGCCTGAGCTTGACATTTCCAAATCCTCAAACCATGAAGAAAAGCTCCTGATGTTGCACTTATATGTCAATGTGATGCATAGTTAAATCAAATCACTACAGTTCTACAACCCCAGAGGGTGCTGTGGGATCTGCCACGGTTTATCTGTTGAGGTGGAATCACAAGACACTAACTGTACACATGCATGATTTCACGCCTTTAGGTTGTTTCTGAAGCTGTAAATTACATCCTCATGTCCTAGCTGCAGGGTGGTCTAGTCATGTGGGCAAAGCCCATGCAGTGGGCAATGTCTGATTGGCAGTGCTGCCATTGTAAGGGGATGGGGGGGAATCAACCTGCCGTCATCCTGAACCAAACAACAGTAGACAAGGGGGTTGAATTTGCAATATTCGCAAAAGGATGTATAAATGGCGAATCCTGCAGATACCTGGATGTGTCTCTGGTATTCAGATCTCTCTTGACTTCCACATTGTGGTCAAAGGAGGCTGCTGGCGTCAAACCATAATCCAAGTTCTAGATTGACTGGGTACTGGTATCCTGGCCAACAATCCCCCAAAATACAAAACACA